TATATTTTATACATTTTTTACGAATATTAAAACGTATTATTACCGTATACAATTCCGTATATAAATTTCTTATAGGGCAGGTAACTTTCCAAAATTCTAGAATTAGTAATTCTTCTAAAAAAAATTGATATTTTCATTTGTGTTTATATGATTCGTTAAATAAAGTTTATGATAGTATGCCATTAAAAATTAATTTAAAAATGTATAGCTAGTTGATTAATTTGTTAGTATTCTGTTGATTATGATTTAAATTATAAAAGGTTATGAAAATTTTTATGTATACATAATCTTTGAAGAATAGTCTAATTTTTTTGTTAATAAAATTAGATTGGAAAATAAATATAAAAGAGAGAAAAGAAGTATATTTAAATGAAAAAAGGATAGGAGGATTCATAAGTGAAGACTTTGCTAATTTATCTACTTTTTTATTAAAAGGATTTCTATCATGAACTTTGACTTTAATTAGATTAAGTAAAAGTTATTTTTGTTCGATCAATTTAAAAATGAAATATCAATAAATAAAGAAGGGGGTTTTTTAATAACAGAAAAGCAGCGTTAGTAGAATATAATCTATGTAATCTATTGTAACCAAGTATTATAGAAAAGTTATCAGTATTAATCATAATAGAAATGCTAAAAGAACAGACAAAAAGTATCATTAAAAGAGTAAAAATTTTAGCATAAGTGAAGTTAGTATAAATTGGTAATAAATCAGCAGTGAAACTATCTTTTAAAATATTATGAATTAAAAGAAAAATAAAGTTAAGGTATGATTATAAAGAAAAAGAAATAAACAGATGAAATCTATCTGTGTTAAATTCTAAAGTATATTGGTTAGTTAAACTAATTCTATGTTGATTTAGAATTCATATAGTATTTGGAGATATAAAAAAATTTTCTATTATTAAAATATTGGGATCAAATTCAAAGAATTGTTCTAAATAAATAGAACAGAAAGATTATTAAAAGAACGAAAATAGGCTATGTTTCATCTATTAAAGACCAAATTGAACATAATTTTTTTGAATAACAATTATTTAAAATAATGTTTAATTTGTTTTATTTTAATATACTATAAATTTTATTATAAGGTTTGCCTAAATAGTAATTTTCAGTTATATATATAGACTACATCAACTAGATGATTTTGATATTCAGATTATCAAATAACTTATAAATTGAATCTGATCTTTAACTCTAATGATAACTCGATTAGCTAATACTATAATATTCAATATAATCTAATTATTACTGAAATTTAATTTACTAAGTTCTGATTAATCACTTTCTTACTTATGTAAGAGTTCCATAGTATAAGACATAAGATTGTATTCATTACAGATCAATTAGTAAAGGATAAGTTTCGGTTGATTTCTAGCTTTATTTATATTTACTTATTCTAACATTAACAGTATTTAGGCATGATTAACATTAATAGATAGATTAATCAATCAGATTTATATGCATATTAGTATATATATTTATCAATTCAGTTATATTGAAATTCTTATGAAAATTATATAGTTTTATACCTAAAGATGGTGCAGCAATTGATTTCAAATTTACAAATTGTTACAATATAAGCTAAAATTAATTGCAACATATGTTGCAACATTATAAGTTGCAACATATATAGGTTAAAACTAATTGCAATGTAAGTTGTAATATTAAAAGTTGCAACATATTAATTACAGTTCCCATCTTTATTTATACCTTAGCTAAGATTCAAACTAAGCTGTATAATAAAACTTTTTACTATAATAAACTTACAATTTAACTACTAAGTTAGGATCACTATATTTTTTAAAAAATACAATAAAGTATTTATTTATTAAATTTTAAATTCAAAATATAAAATATAAATAAAAATTATATAAAAGTATAAAAATAGGAAAATAAAATAAATGCTGCTACTTATAGAGGTAAAGATATTATTTATAAAACAAAAGAATTTTTAAAGTATTTTTCTTTATAATATTGTTTATGAGTTCTTTGAAAATAGTTAAATCATATCTTTATTTCTATTAAATCAAGAGATTATTCAAATATGTAATTGTAGAAAGTAGATAAATAACAAAGGTTTTTTATTGATTATTAGAAGTGAGAAGAATAATACTTTTAATAAAATCAATAAAAATAAAAGTGATAGATAATAAAGAAAGTGAAATCTAATAATAATATAATAAATCAAGAACTTTTTGTAATTTATTTGACCATTATCAGCTTGAGATGTAAATATAAAATTAATCTTTAAGAGTTTAAATACTTTTGTTATAATAGTTTAATAGTAATTTGAATATTAGGACAAGTTTAAATATATATAAAAGTTTTATTATAAGAGTTACATCAATGGCATTTCCAATCAGATTGTAAAGATCAAATTTGATAAGTTTAAAAAAATTAAGAGTTAGTAATTACCTTAAAAGCAGTTGATATTTATGTTTATATTTGTAAAATTTTTTAAAAAAAGTCTAGTTGTTTAAGTCATAATCAATAAACTTGAAAATACAAAACCAGTTAATAGATTTATCTTTATATACATTATTTTTTATAAGTTGTAAATGTCAGTAAAAGATTTGGTATGATGTAATTTTTAAAATAGAATAAATTTCTTTGTTATTTAAATTAGATTAGAAAGTAAAAACATAAGAAAGATAAGAAATGTATTTAAATGATAAGAAAATAGGAGTATTGTAAATAGAAGATTTTATCAAATTGTTTACTTTTTATTATAAAGACTTCCAGAATAAGCTTTTACTTTAATCAAAGTTAAACTAATTTGGGAGCTTTGCAATAGAAAGGGAGAAAACTCTAAAAAAATTAAAATTTTACTTTCTAAGCTAATTATGATTTTTTTTGTAAAATAAGTCCAGATTTAACATTAACTCAAAAAAAAATTTTTTTAGAATTTCCTCCCTTTCTATTGCAAAGCTCCCATATATTATTGATTATTTTACTGATTATAATATATATATATTATAAAATAAATATATTTCATGTTATTATAATTTATCAATATTTTACTAACTATATATATTATAAATGCATTTTATTTAAATAATAGTAAAAATTATTTTTATAAATAGTTTATTACAAACATTTAATAATTTATAAAAGGTTATAAAATTTATTTTAATGATAACTTTTTATTTATTTAAAAGTTTGCTAGTTTATTTAACCATTAATTTATATTTTAATTAATATAACTTATTAAAATAATATATAATATGAATAAGTTGAATGATTATATTTAAAATATAAAATTTGAGATAAATTCTATATTATAATTAACAAAATGATTAGCATAATATTTTCATTTTGTTATTATATACAGTATTATCATATTAACTTTTTAAAATTATGCCTTAGATTATTCTATAAATATTCAAATTATTCATATTAATTATTATTATTTAATATTGTATTTTAATAATTTAATTAATGTTAATCAATATTTAATCCCTATTTTAAATTGAATTTAAAGATTTTAAAATTAAAAATTAATTTATTATTAATGCGATTAAATTTTTATAAATCACATTATAAATTTTTAAAAAAAAAGATGATCGACAAATGATCGTCCGTTGTTGCGACACGTGCGATTATCGTTACACACAATAAAAAATATAAATAGCTTGATCGAAAAAACTAAATCGTTAGTTAAACTTAACTTTGAACTTTTCAAACCGCTTTTTTTTTTTTTTTAAAACAAATATAAATTACAACCATGGCTACTAAAGTTCAAAAGATTATGGTCCAACCCATAGTAAGTAAATAATATTTATAATATTTCGTTCATTTTTTTTTAAAAAAATATTATTTTAATCTATTTTATAGAACTTGATCTTCAAGTATCTTCAAAACGTAGGTATTTATTTATATTGTAAAAAAAATTTGTTTTATATTGCTTATTCATCTTTTCGATTAATTAGAAAACACGAGTTCAAATTTGGTTATATGAGCAAGTTGATTTGAGGATCGAAGGGCAAATTATTGTAAATCATTTAATAAAAACCTAATGTTGAAGTAAAAAGTTATCAATAATCTTTGACGTGTTGTGTTTTTTAATTTTTAGGGATTTGACGAATTTATGAACCTTGTGCTTGATAATGGAGAAGAGGTGAATCTTAAGAAGAAAACTCGAAAATCCTTGGGTAATAAAATCTTCAATAATCGCTATGTATATTTTTGTGTTAAATTTGTTTTACTAATTTAAAAATTCTTTGAATTACAATCCCTTTCTTTGTATTAGGTCGAATCCTATTAAAAGGAGATAATATAACTTTGATTCAGAGCATCTGATGAAATATTTTTTTTTTTTTGGGCAATAAACGACTTAAACGACTAGGAGTAAATTTGAGATTTTTTTTATCGACTTTTAGCCTGAATATCCTGAATATGAAAATAGTCAATCGTTACACAAAATTATTTGTAACGGGATCCCAGAAACAATAACATGTTCAGAATGACAGTGTTATAAATCAAAATCCAATTTTGGAATAAATAATTTACCGGTCATTTGCGCCGTTAATCTACTAATTATCCTGTGAGATTTTTTTTTGCCGGAACGCTAATCTAGTTTCCGGATATAAACTATAACCATTAGTTTCCGAAATACGACAGGTATTGGTGCGATGGGGAATTTTTTTGGGTGATGATAAAATAATGGGAGATATGTGTGGGAGAATTTAAACGAATGTGTAACGAAAACATTTTACAGAAATGATTATATCGAACAAGTGAAACCTGTTACAACAAGTAATTTTACCGTCTATGAAAGATATCCGAAAAAAACTTCTGTTCTTCCGGTTAGTTTCGGAGGATCTTTCCTTTAAAACCGGAAACTTATCCAGTAAAGTAACATTCAGCCAATCCCGCTTACGGAAATTGGCGTCACAATCCCTGTATCACTCTTTTGTTACCCTGCTTTTTTATATAAATTAAATCAGTCGATGAATCTTTGGGTTTTTTTCATTGTTGCCCAACATTCCTCCCAAAAAAAAAAAATTTCCACAATTCTTACGGTAGATTTTTAACTATTTTTTCCCTTGCGGTTGGTTCCCAGCGATATATCCAATTACATAAATCTACAAATGCCGGTGTGTACATCCTGTCATCAAACTAAGCAAGACGAGGCTTTTTTCCACAAAAACAAAAAGTGGAAGACATGCCAAAGTTGTATCGAACAAAGGGCCCTCAAAAAACAAAAAACGAAAAGAAAATGCGAGGACGAGGCTGTTGAGGAAGAGCCCTTACGAGTTTCTCTTAGAACTGTAGGTCTCATGGATTTGGCAGCCCTCGTCTCTGCCGAAATGCGAGCGTTAATTAATAACCCGCCTCCTACTGCTCCTGACGGAACTCAAATTTGTTCTTTAGACCTTCGAGTGGCCCTTAACCTCGCTAATACTATTTCTGGTAACGAACATCCTAAAGACATTGCCCGTTGGATTGTGGAAGAAATAGAAAGAGCCGATGAATATAATTGGACGTAAGTATTATTTAATCATATGATTATTAATCCTTGACATTATGTTTTACATAGCCTTAAAAAAAAAAATTTTTTTTAATACTATATTAAAGCTATAATTGTATGAACACTTCAATGCGCCATAAGGACGTTGCAAAGTTTTATTACGTCTGCAGTCAATCCGTGGTTGCTATGAAAGAATACAAAGAAGGTTCAAATAGGAAACGAATGGAACGATTTCCTTGTCAAGGGAAGATGCAGATGAAAATCGATATGCCTGCTGCCGAAGCAATGTTAGAGATTCATCACGGTCTCCTTCATAATAGGCCAGTTTCTAATTCTGACATTAGTGACGAATGCAGGAAGGAAATTGAGGAAAACACTCATTTGAATCCTATTCAATTACGCCAATTACTGAGAAGTAAAGGGATCATGAAGAATTATACTCCTCGGCAAATTCACTCATATTGGGAAAGATTTGCAATCAACAAACACCCGGAACTTGTTCGTCAGTTTTCTGTTATTCCCGTTAACACTCCCAATATTCCAGGAATTACAACTAATACACCCACACAAGACCGTAATCCACCCTATACCATTTTACCAACATTATCTTATGGAGCCACCGGTTTGCCAGCCTCGATTGTAAATAATCCTTTACCAAATTCTCTGCAGAAGGGTGTAGTTGATCAAATGCCAAAATTAGGAAACCATTCGTTTAATCACGATGAATTTGTAGAATATGTTACCAAAATGGAGCAATTTGCCAAGAGGGTAAGAAATCAATTAGATCGACGGAATTATCTCTGGTTAGATACTGTAAAAATATTGACCGCTGGTGTAATTGAAATGGAGAATGACATAGAGGAATTGGAGAGACAACGAGCTAGCGAACGAGCTACCAAACCATGGACAATTCATTATAAATAATTTATATTATTGATTATTTTTATTTTATATATTCTTTTTTCATATCGATATTTTATGATTTGTATCGAATTGCTCGACAACATATAGTTTATGTCGAAAAGAAAGGGTGATTTATTTATGATGTAACTTTTTTCATGTATAAGGGGGTAATATACTGCAAGCAACAAATATAATAAGATCAATGAAAAATCATTTTGTTTTGAACATTTATTTTTATATTATTAAAATTAAGATTTTATTCTTACCCTTGACTTTTTCAATTAAATTTTTCTTTTTTCCATTTTTTTGTAGTAAATTAAAACATGTAATAACAATTAAGAGTTTTTATTTTACGAGAGAACTCTCACTACGGCTTTTGCTCTATTTAATTTGATTTGTTCGATCCTTTTTACGTCTTTTTGATCCGCTTTCTCATCATCCTCTTGCTCTCCAATTGCTCCATCTGCTTCCGATTCGAACTTATTGACAATATCCTGAGCCATTTTAAGTGTAGTCTAATTGAGGTTCATGGAAAAAAAAAATTTTTTATCAAATCAATAAATAATAATTTCGGGCAATCGAAATTCGAAAGTTTGGCCAGTTTCGGATATCTAAAAGGGCGACATTTTACCCGAAAATTTATATGTAGACTTACGTGTCGCGACTTTCCCGACAATTCCGCGATATATTCTATGAATACCTTGAAAAAATCATCCGAGAACTACAAGATCAAAGACGTAAATCATTTAACTCGTATAAATAGATCGACATGATTGGCAATAAGTTAACTTACTAAATCTTCATGATATGCATTTTTGAGTAGCCAAATTTGACGTACTTTTTGAAATTTCCATTCTTCCTTACGATAACGCCAAATTAAAAGATAATTTAACCCTAAAAAACCAAACATAATTCGGTAATTAATATGGTTTTTAAAAATCAAATTTGACTTTAACGAACCTGTTTTTGCAGCATGTGTAAATTCGTCTGGTACCTTCAAATTTGTTTGCTCGATTGCTAATACCGATGTTGAATCATTGGTCTTTTCCAATGGAACTTGTTTAGACAAATTTCCATTTCCATCGAGACCACCGATATCATTAAATTTAGTCTTTTCTTTATCATTAACTTTTCGTTTTTTCTTTTCGTGTTTGTTCGTTTTTTTCTTTTCCACTTCCGATTTTTTATCTTTATTCTTATCCTTCTTTCTCTTCTTTCCGATTATTTCTGAATCTGTATTTTGAACTTTAGTTTTCAGCTTTATGATCGTCTCCTCCTCATTTTTAGAGGTGGAAATTTGAGAATATTTTATTGGTAATGCTGAACTAGAATTTTTAAGTGATAATAATTTCTTCCATTTCGGAACATGATTCTGCGTTTTTTCGCTAATCTGGTCAACCTGTAAAGACATTTAATTAAAATTGTTGCTAAAAAAAAATTTCTGACCTCGGTTTTAAATAAGCACGTGTTTTGATCATATATGATTTACTCCAGTTTTAATCATTTCCAGATACGGCAGTTTTCTTAACCCTTTTTTTTTGAATTTTCTTTTAAAAAAAATTTTTTAGATCTGTAATAGTTTGACCTATATCAATTTGATTTAGTTATAAATAAAAAATATATATAATAAATATTTTTGTATATTTTATTTAAACTTTTAAAGGATCTAATGGGTAAATATCAAGCTATCTTTAGTTAAACTATGAAATCTAATTTTTTTCTTCTTTCATCAGCATATCCTCTAAGCTAACTTCAGTTTGGACTCCTACGATTTCATATTTCTTTCTAATCAGGTGCAATACTTAGTCGAATGTTGGGAAGATTGTGGGGTGAAAAAGAAGTGCGAATACTTATTTTAGGTTTAGACGGCGCTGGTAAAACAACAATACTATATCGGCTGCAGGTAGGTTTTATCTTTGAAGGTTTTTATCAATTGGATGATCCTTTGTTAATTTATTATTTCGGAATGACTAAATTCTCGAGAGAAAATTGATTCCTTATTAATTGATTCATTCTTTGAGAAATAGTTATATTTTATATTTAATCGTTTATTAATCTTTATTCATTATTATTCTTTCCAGATTGGGGAAGTTGTGACAACTATTCCGAGTAAGTTGAATTAATATCTGAATCACTTTTTTTGTTTTGTTATTTTCTTATAGAATTCTAATTTTCTAATCAATATTATTTTATGGAAATTTTTTTGATTCGTAGCTATTGGATTTAATGTAGAAACTGTAACATATAAAAATATTAAATTTCAAGGTGATTTTATATTTCTGCGTTATTTATGATGTAGTTTAATTTCTAATAATATCTTATTTATTTATTTAAATTATTTTAGTATGGGATTTAGGAGGTAAATTTTTATAATTCGATTAAAATATTAATGAATATCACTTTTTTTTAAAAAAAAAATCAAATTAATTTATTGATAATTTTATGTTTATAATTAGGTCAAACAAGTATAAGGTGCGTTTTCAATTAGTGATATTAGTTGTAAGCTATAACGATGTAATTCATTCTAATATTAGTTTCATTGAAGACCCTATTGGCGGTGTTATTATGCAAACACCGATGCTGTCATATACGTAGTAGATTCTGTAGATCGTGATCGTATGGGCACTTCAAAAGAGGAACTTCACGCAATGCTTGATGAAGAAGAATTACGTGATGCCGCATTATTAGTTTTTGCCAATAAACAAGATATGGGGGGAGCGATGACTGCAGCTCAAGTGTCAGATGCGCTAGGTTTAGGTACATTAAAAAATAGACAATGGAGTATTTATAAAACAAGTGCTGTAAAAGGTGATGGTCTAACAGAAGGATTGGATTGGTGAGTTTTTCATTTAATATTGATTATTTTAAAAAAATATATATATTAAATAAAAAATTTAATTTTTAATCTTATATAGGTTGGTTAACATTATTCAAGGCAATAAACAATGAATTATTATTATGAACCTTATGTTCTCTCTAATTTCATATCTGAACTTTTATTATTATTTAATAGATTTGCTTCTTTAAAAAAATATCTATGGTTGATAGAAGAGGAATTATTAGTTATTAATATTTTTTTAAAAAAGTTTTGTATACATTCCTTAATATTATAATATTGTTTAATCGTTCAATTATTTTTGAACTTAGTTATTACATATTTAATTGATCTAATTATCTATAATTTTTTGTTAATTAAAGTATTTTCCTTTCAAATATGTTTTGTTGTGATTTTTTTTTTTTAGATATAAAATTGAATCAAAAATAAGTTACTAAATATAAAAAAAATATATATATATAAAAAAGATAATAAATAAAAAAACAAATGAAAAAATAAAATATTTTTAAATTATAAAATTAATTATTATAATTATATAACATTTAATTATAAAAATAAAATTCATTCAATTAATAAAAAAATTTATAATTTAAACTATTTGTAATACTATTATTATAATAATTTATTAGTTAATAAAATTGATATATATAAATTTTATCAATTAACTTATAGTTATAATAAATTATATTAATTTTATATACTATATTTACTTAAACTAATTTTTAATTAACTTTTTAAAACAATAAGTTTTTTTTATCTAAAAATAAAAATTGTTATTAAAATATTATTAAATTTTATGTAACATATTTTTTATATAATAAGTCCGAAGTATGGTATATAAATTATAATATCATATTTCATATGATTAATTATTTTGTAACACAAAAGACAACACGTGATAATGTAAATAAAACGTTATTGGTTATCAGGCTTGTCAAATTTGAATAGATTACATTTAAATGACCTAGAAGTAAAATGTCCTCTGTTATACTTCAGACAATAATAAAATTAAATTTAAGTAAAAGTAGAATATAATATATTGTAATAATTATTTAAATAAAAATAAATTAAAAAATATTTTTTTAATTTTTTAAATATAATTAAATAAAATTAATATTAATTATAAAATTTATCTAAATTAATATTAATATATATAAATTTATAAAATATTAATAATAATTTATTATTATTTATAAATTTTATTTATTATTTTTTTTATTAAAACTTTTTATAAATAATAAAATCTATTACATTATTAACAGATTCTACTAATAATTTTATAATAATAATTAATAAAGTTAATGATTAAACTTTGATTAAAAAATTAACAAAATTAAATTAAAAAAAAGTATATTAAATAAAAAATTATTTAACTTATAAAGATAATAATAGAGATTTCTGATATTTTTAGTATATACAGTGGCTTTCAAAAATAACTCAATATTTATATTATTAATCATTAATCATGTATTATTATATCAAATGTTATCTAATAAAGATAAAATTTATAATATATGTAAATCATCATGTGATTTATCAAAATCTAATATTTTATATGTATTTAATTTGATTGGTTATTTTAAATCATATGATTTTCAACAAGTAAATATTGTGTTATTTTTAGCATTTTATTAAAATAAAATTTTATAACACTTTTCTTTCTTTAATTTCTTTAATACTCATAAACTATATAAAATTTAAGCTATTTCTTATTTTAATTTTGCCAAATATGCCAAAAAAATTAACTATCAAAGAGAAAGTTAAAGTAATAACTTTAATTGAAGAAGGATATAGTTATCGCCAAGTTGCATTAAGACTTGGTAATAACACACAACTTTCAACTAAACTAAGACTAAAAAAATATAACGAAACTGGCGAAGTCAAAAATAAACTTCCTTCAAATTATTTTTGACTATTAACAAGCAGAGATAAAAGAACAGTTATTCATCAAATTATGACAGATGAGTGTTCAATAGCTGTTGACATTCAAAAATCCCTAAAAGTTAATGAAAAATTAAAAGTTAGTACTAATATAGTTAGAAAAGTATTAAAACGAAATAGATTGAAAGCAAGTTCTAAAACAAAAAAAAACCTTTTTTATCTAAAATTCATCATAAAAAACATTTTGAATTTACAAATTAATATTAGACTTGAACAGTGGCAAACCAGAATAAGGTTGCTTGGTCTAACGAATCTAAATATCAGATATTTAAGTTAGACAGAAAGAAATACTTTATGGTAAACTATTAAGTAATTGATTAGTAAAGCCTACCATCAAATTTAATGAAGGAAATGTATTTATATAGAGATGTTTTATTTCTTCGAGTATTAGATACCTTTGTCGAATTGATAAAGGGTTGAATAGAAAGCTTTATCGTCAAATTTTGGATGACAAATTTTAGAAACTTTAAAATTCTATAATTTAATTACTTAGAATATTATTTTTTAACAAGATAATGATCCCAAGCATACAGCAAAACTTACCTAAAAATAGTTTGCAGGTAAAAATATCCAAGTCTTATCTTGGCCAGTAAAATCTTTCAATTTTAATTTGATAAAACATTTATAAAATGATGTTAATTAAAAGCTTAAGTCATTAGGGTAGGACTCCAGAAATTTTTAATATAGGTTACAGGCAAAAAAAAAATTTATATGATTGGTATACATTATTTTATTAAGATGTCGATACAAATTTAAACTATAACTTTCTAAAATTAGTAAAAATATACAAATTCAACCTATAACTTCCATAATAAGTAATGCTAAAATTTGGCTAAAACATTATGAAATTTAGCATCATTAAGGTTGTTAAATACAGTTCTAGCTGTTCTTTTTAAGAAAAATACATTCTATTCTATTTGCATATTAGTTTTTCCAATATTATAAACAATGTGTTTTAGGTCATAATGTAAAAAAAGAAAACATCTATTTGCATCAAATTCTGCAAAAATATAACCTTGAATATATATAAATACTGAAGAGAAATATATGATAAATCTTAGATATCTGTTATTGGTCGAGTTATATAAAAATGAAATTTATCCTACATTGCAATTACTTTTGCAATATATAATTGTGTATTAAAAATAGCAATAACAAATCTATTAGTAACAAGAGGAAATATAGGAGTAACATTTGCAATAGCCAATTGTTCTAAAATATAAAAATTATTGTTAACATTTTATTGTAATTTAATAATATATATTAAATAAGTTACCTGGATAGTCTGAAAGCTTTTCTATCTGAATACATATTTTTGTATAATTTGTCTAACGATTTTGTCATTTTTGTCATTTACATGTTTGTGTAATTATCTCATCATTGTTGACTAAATAAGCGTATATATTAATGCATTATTTGGTTGAATCAAAGTATTCATTTCTATTTCAACATTTGTTTGATAAAATTTTTGACGTTTTAATCTCTACATGTAAATGCCTTATATAATTTCCTTTCATCAATCATTACTTGTATATTCAGTTTACCAAATGGCAACTTATAACTAGTAATACTTGTATCTGTTTAAAAAAAATAAATGTAAAAAATGTAACATAAATATTAATAAAATAACAATTTTTTTTTTCAAAATTTACTATTATAAATGATATATAAATCTTTTCTTTGTAAAGCTCTTAATTGAGTTTCACAATCAGGAGTTAAAATATTATCACATATTTTATATATAATCAGATGTTGTAAATGATGCTTCATTTGTTGAAATAGATAAAGCTATTAATAATTCTAATTGTGACTCTTTGCTTTGGTTACTGATTTCATTATTAAAATTATTAAACATAGTATTTTCATCATCACAAGTATCTGATAAATCATTTATGTTAGAAAAATATATTATAAATTCTGGTATTTTTTTTATAGCTAATATTTCCGCAAGTTCAGATACTTGATAAAAACCAGCTTTAATTGCATTTTTTATTTCAAGATCTGTTAGACAAGAACGAAGTGTTTCAAGAAATTTTTGATCAAACATTTTATCTATGTCAAATTGATAGCCTATGATATAAGATATTTTAATAAATACTAAAAAAAATTAATAATAGCATGTACTTTGTATATATACAAAAAAAAACACTTTTGCATACAGTTTTTTAAATGTTTTAATTGATTTTGTATAATGGAAAATTTTAGGAACAAGATTTAAAATATCATTATATTTAAAATTATTGTGTAATTATCTCGCAATACCAAAAAAGTGTTTACATGTTTCTGTATCATATTTCCATAGTAAAAGGGAATAAGTTGGATAAAATTTACAAAGAATTTTAATTAAAAGTAAAAGAGATTCTGTTAAACTTATAAAAATATTAAAACTTTGTAGTATTAGAAAATTATGTGCTAAAGATATACGATTTGGGTATAAACAAGAAATTGTTTCAATATGAAAACGTCAAAGGTGAAAAAAAAAGTAAGCCATTTTAATTCTTTCCAAATGAGAAATTTCCCGATTAAAATAGTCACCTGTTTATAATAAAGTTGCATATTAGTAATTTAACAATTAATATAAATAATATAAATAAATATAAAAAATAAAAATAAAAATAAACCTACCCATACTATTCATAACAAATAAATATATGAATATGCCTTTATTATCATCAGATAATTGTCTATTATCTAATAGTTGCTCAAGATTTTGAGTACAAAACATGTGATATATAGCATCATCATCTTGCCGATCAAGTTTGATTAAGCCAAACTTAATAAACTACTTTAGTAGTCTCTAATGAGAAAGAGTTGAAGTCATTAAAAAGTTATCAAAAACAAATATTTGATAAAGTTATTCTTCCAACATACATCTCGTTTATATAAAATACTTTCTGGTTGTTGACATAAGGAAAACAATTGTTCATAATGCATTGTTGAATTTCCAAAACTTAGTAATCTTACATTAGATATACAGACATTTCATGCTGTTTTTTTGCCATGATTTGGATCTTGCATACGAATAACTGACCCAACATTTGGAAAAATGGAATAGCTAAAATC